AATCAAAAAAAATAAAATCAATCAATCAATCAATCAATCAATCAATCTATCAAATTTGTTTTTTCTATTTTTTTTATTTTTTTTTAACATATAAAAAATCACCCCCCCGAGATTTTCGATTTTTTTTCTTTTTTTAGCATAGGCCTCCAGCGGATAACGTGCGCAGGCCAACCGCGCGCTCGGATTTCGAGGGCGCGCGGCATCGGCCACGGGCCTGCTGCCTAGGATCCTGGCCGCGGACTCAGATCCTGCGGCCGCGGCCTAGGGTGCCACGTAGTCAAGAAGTTCCTCGCGAACTCCCCATAATAGTTAGATAGACCTAGGAACGACCGCAACTCAGTCAACATGCGGGGCGTCGGCCAATCTCTAATCGCCGCTATCTTGCTGTCCTCAGGCTTAATGCCATCTCCGTCTAAAATGTGGCGCAAGTACAAGACTTGCGTCTTGGCCCACTCAACACTTTTTCGCGTTGATCTTGAAGTTAGCCTCTCTCAGCTTTTCCAAGACCTGCCTCAAATGACCCTGATGCTCTTGGAGGGTCCTACTGAATACTAGTATGTCATCTAGATAGACTACAACAAATCTATCTAACCATGGCCTAAACAAATCGTTCATACAGCGCTGGAACGTGGCAGGCGCATTGGTTAGTCCAAAGGGCATCACTATGAACTCATAGTGACCCATATCTAGTCTGAAACGCATTCTTGTATTGGTCATCAGGATGGACCTCTATTTGATGATATCCAAACTTCAAATCGATCTTCGAAAAATATTTGCAACCCTGCACCCAATCTAAAAGATCGTCTATCCTGGGCAGCGGTTCAACATTCTTCACTGTGATCGCATCCAGACCCCTACAGTCTATACACATATGCAATTTTCCTTCCTTTTTGGGGACAAACAAAACTGGTGCTCCAAAAGGAGATGAACTGGTCCTAATCCAACCCTTTTCGAGGAGCTCGTCTAATTGCTTACGCAACTCCTCTAACTCCCTTGGGGACATCCTGTAGACTGCTCCCTTAGGAGTCTTACTGCCAGGCTCTATTTCTATACGATGCTGGATTGGCCGCGACACTACTCCTGTCGGTGGCTCTGTCAAATCCTTAAACTCTTCCACCAGCTTGGCAATAGTTGGGTCTATGGGTGTGTCTTCCTTAGGCTCAGTGACAGGCCTCACATAGGCTACGAAGACCTGCTCCTCTAATCGCTCCTTTCTTACTAATCGCGCGAACGCGGGACCACTGAGACAGCAATGTGCCAAGGAGTTTACTCCAGACACATGAAACAGGCAGGCAATCTTAACCTCACTTGATGGTCTAGGGAGTCGACACTCATGCACTCTCAAATGAAGTGTGGCCCCTGCTGCCTCTGCTGCCTCTCTCCAATCCATGCCTAGGACTGTGTCAAAAGGAAGGCCATCTTGTACGAGGAGAGTCAGGGAATGGAGAACCTTCTCCACCTTCCCGTATTTCTCTAGGCGGAAATACGCCTTGACTCCCTCTACGTAGTCCTCAACACGCATAGTGCGGTTGTCTGAGAGGACACTGACTATGGGGTCTTCCAACTTTTGGACTTTTAACCCTAGCCTTAGCTTCTTCAGCACTGTACGGCTAATATAACTGCGGGTAGCCCCCGAATCTTTAAGGGCCCCAACTCTACTTCTAAAGACCTCTTCATCAACTAGAACTAGTCCTTTACTATCCTTCTTCATTTTGGCCTAGGCAGGCATTCTCTCCTTCAACTCTTCTGCCACGCGTGTGAGGGAAGTGCCTAGAGAGGCGCTAACACAAGCAGTCTCTGGACAACTAGCTAGGCACCGGCCTGCAACCTTTGCCGAAGGCACATGTGGTGTGGGAGTTTCCTGTTTGCGTGCGCTCGCTTCCCCACATGGCCTAGTAGTAGGGGTGGATGCAACCCCTATCGGCGGCTGCCTCTGGGCAACCCATCGGGCCTCTCTGTTCTTAGGACAATATTTAATGATATGGGCCGGGTCACCGCAATATATGCACTGACCCTGGTCCTACGCTGCTGCCATACTCGTTGATCCAAGCCCAGATCTTCCCATGGCCGGCCTTGTGGCCAACCTCCTCTCCTCTGAGGTGATCCTCCACCTCGTCGCTACGGGGACCGACTAGGACCTTGACGAGTAGACAGGGGACCTTGACCCCTACCTCCCTCTTGGCAGTTCCTTTGGCCGCCAACCCCCTGTGCGCCCGGTCCTCGACCACTCGTGGCCTGGTCCCTTTGGCCCTGGCTTCCTCCCCTACCTTGCGGCCTCCCTCTAGCCGCGACAAAAGCATAGGTCCTCCCCTCGCCTACACTACTATCCTCCTCCTCTAGCCCCCACTCGGTCTGACTGTAGGGGACTTCATCTGTACCACCTTCATCTAAAGCGAGGATCGAGTGATCCTTGGCCCTGACCTGGCCTGAGATGGTACGACCTTTCCAATTCTTTCCCTTATCTAAGTCCTTATGTCAGAAAGTGGAAACTGGCATGGACTTCGCCTCAAACATGACCACTTCCCTACTCAACGCATCATACGTGATATTGGCCTGTTCGGTCTTGTCGAAGAAATGCCCTCGTCGGGGCTCTGGCATGACACGATAAAATAATTGGACCAACTAGGTCTTAGTGACCCCGTGGTCTGAGACGACTACCAAGTCGTCCATGACAACTTTGAGTGCTCTCGCACTCTTCCACTGTCGCGAGTGGATGGTTTGGAGCTTGTCAGAGGCCCTGATGCCCCTTGTGACGTCAGCGAACCTCTCCCGCAGGCGTTTCAGGAAAGTAGAAAGAGGGGTGAGCCTAGAATACGCAATCATATTGTGCTCGCAATCAGCTGCACGTGCAAGGGACCTGGCAAAGCTGGCCACTTCGTCCTTCAAGGCGTGGAAGGCTACGAGGACTTGTTCCTCGGGCGCGATATGCTGTAAATAGACATACGTATTAATGCTAGCCTCCCAGTTATCAAAGTTATCATCCTTTTTCCCGCAATACGAATCAGGAAACTTGAGCTTGACTGGCTCTTTGCAGGGACGCGGCGCGGCCTCTGCTGTGGCCACTACTTTGGCGCCTTCAACGGCACTGGCGCAGAACTTCTTTGGGCCTTCCTTCAATCTTTTGACTTTGGTCTCGACGTGGGTCACCACGTCACGTGCAAACTCTCTATAAACCCTGACCGGATGGCATGAAGGGTCACATCTTGACCCTTATTGGCCTGATGCTCCTCAAGCCAGGCCTGACTCAATACTTCCAGATAACCCAGGATCTTATCTAGCTTGGGCGAGGTTTCTGCTTGCGCTTGCACTTCTTGCCTCCACGCCTGAATCTGTTCCACCTCTGTGGCCATCCAGTTGGCGTCCTCCCTCCTCCTCTTCTTCTCCCTTGCCAGACACAACTTCCACTCCAACCTCTTCTCGTCGTCCATCGCCTGGCGTCCCATGGGGTCCTCCTTAGCTTCCAGCTCCCTGACAAATGCTTCTCTCTCCTTTTGAAGCACATACAACAGTGCCTCTTCGTCCTCTCCCAGCGATAAATTAGCTACCCACTCGCTAATCTTCTTCTCCATCCACTTATCTTCTGCCTTCGTGCCACTACTTTTTCCCCTTTCTTCCCTACGCCGCCTCTCTAGGGGCCCTTCTTTTACCTCTTCCTCCTCTGCTGCTGCTTCTTCGACAACCCTTCTTTTCTCTTCTTCCTCTTGTTGCAATCTGATCATCTCCTCCGCTATCGCCTTCAACTTTGCTTGCTTGAGGAGCTCCTTCTTCTCCTTCTTCTCCCTTCTCTCCCTCAGTATGGCGGCGGCTTGCTCCTCTTGAGCTTGGGTGTAGGGAGCAGTACTCTTCCCACTACGGGTGTCAACCATGGTGTCTGGTGCACAACCGAACAATGGTTCCACTCCTCACCGCTTAGACTCTACTCCCCCTGACTCAATCTAAGAACCACAAGATCCTCTCATCTAGGGTCACTAGCCTAGACCTACTCTAAGGCTGTTACTACAGGACCTGTTGCTGATCACGAGGCATTTAAGGAGATCCCCCGTAACTCCTCGTGAATTCTTTAACGTCATAGGCAGGACGATGCGATCAGCAGGTCCTCTCAAAACTTAGACGGCCTGTTGCGCAGCCCACAGCTCGGATTTTGGACCTACCGTGCCACACCGAGCAGCCCGCCCGTCAGTACCGGTCCTTGGGAGGGTTAGTATCCTCCGGGACAATCGAGTCGTCAGACACAGTCTTTAGCCCTACTCAGCCCGTGTGGGTTAGGTCAACAAGGCCCTATCCTTCATTCACAGAGTCCTATCACCTGGACAGAAGAGACTCGATGCAGAAAGAAGAGACAAACAGACTTGACTCAGCAAGTACCACGGGGTGTGTGCACATCCATAGGGCGAGGGGATAGGCTGAAGGCTTGACGAGATTATACCCGCTCCGGCTTGGTCAAATTCATGGTCAGCAGTCTTGGTCAACGCTCGGTCAACGCCTTGGTCAATGCTCGGTCAATGTTGCAATCAACCCCCGATCAACGCCTGGTCAGCTCCGGTCAACTTCGATCAACGCCCTCGGTCAACCCTTCCGGTCAACTCTTTCGGTCACTCTTCCGGTCAGCTATGGCTGTCGTCTTCTCCTTCCTCACCACCACCCTCCTTCCTTTCTCCTTCCTCGCCTCTTTCTTCTTCACCCCATCTGTCTTTTTTTTTTTTTTTTTTTTTTGTCGGTTCTCCTTTTTTCTTCCTCCGCTTCACTTCCCTCTTCGGTCTCTCCCTCTGTCCTCTCTTCCACCTCCTTCATCACTCTGCTCCGTGGATATGGCCGCCTCCTCCTTCTACGTTGGACTGTGCAGGTTCGTGACAACCAATCTTCTCTCTCTCTCTCTCTCTCTCTCTCTCTCTCTCTCTCTCTCTCTCTCTCTCTCTCTCTCTCTCTCTCTCCGTACCGATGTCTTCAACACAGGTGCGTAGTAAACCAAACATGTATCGCTTCTCTCTCTCTCTCTCTCTCTCTCTCTCTCTCTCTCTCTCTTCGTCGTCGTCGTGGTCTTCTTTGCAGGTGCGCACGGCGACTTCTTCAACCTTTAGATCCGCTATGGCGGACATCCTCTCCGATGGCGACTTCGGCTATGGCGCGTGACTCTCCCTGCGACACACGACGAACGCGCGTGGGATAGCGGGTACCAGCTCCGATACCAATGCAATCAGACTCACTTGCATTCACACTTCACACGCATGCAAACAGGTTGCGCGGCAAACGGGCGACAAGCGCCCACTCAGAACTCAGAGATATGGTAACCAAGAATGCAGTTCGGATACAACTGTACAAATACACAGGTCACGGGTTCAACTCTCGGGGTCGACACAGATACTGTACATAGGTAAGGTGAGGACTAGGGATTGAGCCCTGGGATCTGCATCGGCTACTGCGAACAAGTGAATACCGTTTCAATAAGATCAACCAATTTGAAGCCAGGGCCCTCAGCTGCAGAGCAGGCTGAAGTAGAACGCCGGCAGGTTGAGAAAAAAAAAGAGAAAGAAGATAGAAAGAAACAGAAAGAAGAAGAGCTGAGAAAGAAAAATCAGCTAGAGGAAGAAAGAATTAAAAAGGAGTTGAAATAAAAGCTAGAAAAAAAATTGCACGAAGAACTAAAGACTATAGAAGAAGAAGATGAACCTGCAGATGATACAGATAGAATCGTCAAACATCGAACTGAAAGGGGTGAAAACAGTCAATCTGGTGGGTTGAATATACAACTCAGTCCCTTAAACTGGTATGACCAGTATAGTTATTCTAGTGACAGGATTGAAGAGACAGAGGGAGAAAGAGACACATTTGTCGTAAAATTGGAATACATTAAAGATAAAAGGAAAAGGGAACTTTTGTTGGAAGAAAAACGAGAAGAGCTGCACACTAAAATGTTAGCAGCAAAACGACAGGAGCTCAAAGAAAGGAAAAGACTGCATGCAGAGGGTGAAAGGTTGCAAAGAGAATTGCAGGCGCAAAAGGAAAAACAAATAGCAACCGAAGAACAACTTGCCCTCTTAACACCAACTGTTCTCCATACAAAACAAGAGTTGGCGGCAATGAATAAGACCTTGCAAAAAGTTGAAGCTCACCCGTATGAGTTTGAGGGAGTCTAAAATACCTTTTCCTGTAGAGATCTGCAGCAGAAGTAGGTCAACATGTGCAAGCATATATTGTAAAATTAGACGAGCAGATCAACAAAACTCTAACACCCGCTGTGATTGAGAAATTGGTAAGTAGCGGTGAAGGAGATGGAGGAGATGGAGACGGAGATAAGAAGAAAAAGGGAGTGTTGCAAGAAGATGCAGGGGAAGTTAGGAAAATAAAAGTAAAGGTGTCGTGGACATACACCGACAAAAAGGAAGAAAGTGTTTTGCACTGGAGTGCAGCGGTTGAGTCCTATGTATATGGGCAACGTATTCCGTATTGGGACAGAGTTCTCATGGCCAATTCGTGTATGGCCCGAGAGGCAATGAGCTTTGCAATTTCCCTGCAGAAGGAAGCTAATTGTCAGTTTATGGTAGAGTATTCCCAACAGACCCGTATTGAAGATTTCTTTAAAGCGGTTCGGGAACGATTTGAAGATAAAAATTTGGCCCGAAGAACTGAAATGTTAATCCTGAATATCGCTGATAGAAAATGGAAAAGTGTATCCGCACTTAAATCTACCATGGATGAACTTCTGCAATGTGCTGAACATGGACTTACCCCAATGCAAATTCTTAATAACTTTGCAAGAGCACTACCCGATCCACTCCGTACTCAGCTATATCCCCGCACCAAAGAAGAGGGGATGACTTATGAGAAGTTCAACAAGATCGCATTAGATCATGCTGGCTTCTTGGCCGAAGCCAATTACTGCCATTATTGGGAAGATCTGCAAGTGGGAAAGAAGTGGCAGAACCGCACCATCTCAGGGTATATACCTGGGAAAGACAACCTCCTTCTGACCTTTGGAGAAGGAGGTGTCAAGACTCTCTCCTACGACCAAATAGATTATGGTCTGGCGGGAGAACCCAACGGCACGGTAGTTCAGGAGGGGGACTACGTGGCCGTTGCAGCCCGCGGGGGACGACGACAAGGTAGAGGCTCTGGCAGAGGAAGAGGAGGCCGCGGTCCTGGAGGAAGAGGACTCGACACCTAGAGGGGTGGTGGCGAAGGAAGCTAGTACATGGGAGGAAGGGGCAACGGTCCCTCGCAAGGTAGCCGAGGTTCCAACTCCACATGGGGTAGAGGAACAGGCACGTGGTATGGGAATTGGGACAAACCATATCCACCCCATCCTGGCTTGCCCGAAGGCAAACCTTGGGAAAAACTAGTGATCACAGAAAAAGTTTGGCAAGATAGAAAAGTTGTCGATCAGGACCTTAAATGTGGTGACCCCAACCTCATTGTTCCCTTCTACCCAGATTACCAACAACCAAAAGGGAACATCCAGTAAGGGTTTCAGTTGCCTCTACAGGAACTTCGGATGCAAGCAGACTGACATCCTCCCATTCGAAGGTTCCAGTGGCAGAAACTGAAAAGATAATCGATCCCCTCCTAGTCAATTGTCCAGAGGTAGTTAGTGTATGTACCTCTCTAGGTGGTTCCCTCGCAGTATGGGTGATGAGTTGGCCATTCGTCGCAAAGCCTGGGTCGAAATGAAAAAACAAAAAGGACAGCTAATCATTGCAGATCTAGAAGTCAATAAGGTAAGAGTAGGTGGTTTGATTGACAATGGGTCAACACGCAACTATATTAGTAAGAAAGGATTGCAAAAGCTGAGTCTCGGGCTAAAGGTAAAACAATTGGATGAGCCCGTAGTAAGTAAATCAGCGAATAGTATTGAGATTGTGTTGGATAGATATGTTGAAGGGATCCATACATACTTCCGGCTCAAAGCAGACGGGAAGGTGGAACGCGTTCTCCACTCTCTGACTCTCTTGGTGGAAGATAGTCTCCCTTTTGACATTCTTTTAGGCACATATTATGGGGAAGCTGCAGATGCGGATGTGAAGCTAAGGGACCATGAGTGTTGGCTCCCTAGTCCGCAAGGTGGAAAGAAGAAAGTCCGCCTATTTCATGAATCTGGTAAGGAAAGCAGTTTGGCTCATTGTTGCATGAGTGCCCCCGCGTTCGCCCGCCATGTAAAGAAATACAATTTGTATGATCAAGTGTTTGTGGCATATGTGCGCCCAGTTAAGGAAGGTGAAACTAAGGAAGAGGCAAAATCCTCAGAAATTGAGAAAATTATGAAAGAATTCGCAGATGTGCAAGAGGCCCCAAGCGGTGTGGTGGAACGACCAATCAAACATCGCATTGAAATTATCCCCGGAAGACAGATTCCAAAGGGCCTGATTTACAGAATGTCACCCAAAGAGTTGGATGAACTGCGAACCCAGCTAGACGAGTTGTTGAAAAAGGGATGGATAAGACCTAGCTCCTCATCCTATGGTGCGCCAGTGCTATTTGTGCCAAAGAAAGATGGCGGTGTGACAGGGCCGAGGCAACGAGGCTGGGAGAGAGAGGGAGAGAGKGAGAGCACACACACACACTCACTCAACTCGACGCAGACTCGACACGACTCGACGGACCCAAACACGAAGTGGCAAAGTCGCAAAGTCGAAGTCTTGGATTTCCGAACACATGTCGAAACAAGTCACACTGAGTACGAGTACAACAGGAAACTGGTACGAGACTGGTCCCCGTACCGTACAGGGAGCCGGTATAAGTACCGGTGACACGTAGGGTACCAGGGGCATTTCTGCAAAGGCCCCGAGGGCAGAACTGAAAAATGCGGTATTTGAAAGTGGCACCCGAATTGCAGCATGGCACCAGTTGTCCAAAATCCTACGGTACCAAAGGAGGGGTTTGGAAAAAGGGTGTCAGGCCGAAAGCGGGATGCAGCCGAAACAACAAAAAGATAGACCAGGGATCGAGCCCTGGCGGAGTCCGTAACACTATCCCCTCCCTCTAGAAGGCAACGTCCTGGGTGCCAAAAATCATGAAGCAATGCTGAAATCTGTGAAGGACGGGACGGGGCCGATCACTGGTTAACAAGTCAAAAGGGAAGAGGGGTATAATGTGGGTGGCATGGGCTGCGGGAGTAAGAGGGAACAGGGTTTGGTACCGGTGAACAGAGTTGTCCTACTGTTGAACTGGGGGGGGTTGCAAGGAACAAGGTAGTCCTACAAATGAACTGAATGGACGGCAGGGAGCAGGGTAGCCCTACTGATGAACTAAGGGGACTGCATGGTTTGCTATAGGTTAAGGGGGAACAAAGTTCAGGGAACAGGGAACTTTTATTGATGTTCTACTGGGTAAGGGAAACGGTGTTCAGGAAAACACGATATTTCTATTGATGTTGTAGTGGGTAAGGGAAACAATGGTCAGGGGAACAACGATGTCTATTGATGTTCTAGTGGGTACGGGGAACAATGGTTAGGGAAACAGGGATCTGCTAATGATGTTCTACAAGGTTGTCAAAGTCAAGAAAAATAAAAATGAAAAATGTTTGTTCAGGATGCAAGGGCTTGTGTGTCCGAAGGAGTCAGAAGCAGAATCTCATGTAGGAACAAAGTGTCCAAGTGTCTTGAAAGGGGGTCTGCAGCAGTCTTGATCAGGTCTTTGGAGTAGGTGGTAGAAGCGGTCTTCATCGGCTGTGATAGGTAGAAGTCCAAGAAGCGTAGTAGTAGTTCAAGTGTCAAAGTCCAAGTGCTAGGGTGCGTCCAGTACACGAACTGCAATGAGGTCTGATCTGGAAGCAAGGAAGTCGCAGACTAATGCAAAGATCCATGTCACAAGTTGGTGCTCCAGTAAGTCCACGAGTCCGAATGCCGACAGATGAAACAACATGGTGGCCAAACCAGCTGCATAATCTCCATGAACAGTGAGGCAGCAGGCCATCGTCCTCGTGCGCTTGCCATTAGATCCTTTATCGTCGGCGTCACGCAGGTTCACAAGCATTGGACAAGAGAGACAAGGTAGTGGAGAGGACAGATGGGACAAGGCTAGGCGAGGGCAAGGGCAGATCAGACATCAGGAATGAAGGTCAAGGGGAGGGTGGACTGGGTTCAAGTGTGTGTGTAGAGCGGGGTTGCGAGGTTGTAGCAGGGTTTATGCCATAGTTATATAGGTATCTAGGACATAGGATTAGCACGATCATAGGCGCAGACAAGTTTCATGGCGTTCTTAAGATTAGAGAGAGGTTCCCATGTAGATTCTTCGTCGGGGTATCCCGGTCCATTTGACTTTGCATTCAGTGATTGGTTCCGGTTGATCAGATACCTGAGTGGTTCGTCGACCGATGATGGTTTCGACAACGGATTCTGGGTCGGTGGGTAGCATGATTGGTGGAGGTCTAGGATATGGGCGGTCGGCGAACTGGGGCGGGGATTCATGGTATTCTTCTAGGTACTCGACATGGAAGACTGGGTGGACACATGTCAGGGGGAAGTTGGAGTTTGTAGTTGACAAGGGAGGTTTGTTCAATGATGGGGAGAGGACCGAGCAATTTGTTGGAGAGTTTCTTGGACAAGCCGTGTTCGGGTTCAAAGCGGTTGGCGGAGAGCCAGACTTTGTCCCCTACTTTGAATGACAAGTCGCGTCTATGCTTGTTAGTCTTGTTGGCTTGTTGTTCTTGGATTCGTTCAATGACTTCAGAGGCTTCTCTCAGGAGTGTGTTCATTGTTGTTACCCATTCATTGAGAGAGGGGGTCAGCAAGGGTCATGTCGGGTTCGTGGGCGAAGGCGGTT